ATAAATGTACGTATATTAAAAAAAAAAAAAAAGCATGCCCCCTGAACAGGCAAAACAGTTGGCAAACAGCTGATGCGCAAAAGCCACTGCCACTTACTCCTACGAAGCCCCTTGTCCCTTGGTTTGCACACAACCGGGTGGGGAGCAGAGCAGACTAGCAGCTGTCCCCCAGGAGGAGGTTAGTAAACAGGGTCCTTGCCCACTGACCCCATCCCACTCCCTTTGTCCCCCTCCCCACCCCACCCGCCTCCAAGCGGCAGTGAGCCTCAGGCAGCAGGGCACATAGAAACCCAAACTATGTGCACAGCCTCTGAGTAGTTCAGGTGGCTCAGTGGTTGAGCTAGAGTTAGTCTTGATAAAAATTTCACAACACATTCTTCATAATACAAATTCAGATGAGAAGTTATGTTATAAGTTTTAGGGAAGATATTAAAGCTCAGTTTGTATAGAACTTCCACAACAGCCCTAGCTGGTTTGGCTCAGTGGATCGAGCATCAGCATGTGGGCGAAAGATCCTGGGTTCGATTCTGGTCAAGGGCATGTGCCTAATACCTTGATTGCAGGCTCCGCCCCAGCTCAGACCCTGATCAGGGCGCATGCAGGAGGCAACCAATCAATGTATTTCTCTCACATCGATGTTTCTGTCTTTCCCTCTCTCTTCTACTCTCTCTGAAAATCAATGGGAAAATATCCTCAGGTGAGGATTAAATAAATAATAAAGCGTGATGCTGGATGAAAAGGAAGACAGCACCAAAGCCACCTGCTGTATGAGTCCATCCGTATGACAGTTTGGAAAAGGCAGAACACAGGGATGGAAAGCCATGAGCAGTCTCCAGGGGCTGGAGCGGAGGCGAGAGCCGACTGCAGACGGGCACAGGGGAGTGGGGAAGCCGCAGTTTTAATCATATAGATTCCCTGTCTGCATTGTAGTGGCAGCGACATGACTGTTTATGTTGTCAAATATCATCAAGCACATTATTATTCAAAATGAGCTGTAGGTAGATGGAGCAGGGCTCCCAACTCTGTCAGCTCCTCCGAATGACCTGGAGTGGTCCGCTCAAACCAGTCAGGTGCCCTGGCCAGTGTGGGCCAGTGGTTAGAGTGCCGGCCCGTGGGTTTGATTCCATTCTCAGTCAAGGGCACGTATGTGGGTTGCAGGTTCCATCTCTGGCCCCGGTTGGGGCTCGTGTGGGAGGCAACCAATCGATGTGTCTCTCTCACATCTATGTTTCTCTGTCTCTTTCTCTCCCCCTTCTTCCTTCCCTCCCACTCTCACATATGTGGGGTGGGGAAGTGATCTTTAAAAACAAAAATAAAAAAATAACTAGTCAGACTCCACCCAGAAGCTACAGCATCCGACCCTGCAGGGGGCCGGAGGGGCAGGTACCTGCGTTTTAACAAGCTCTCTGGTTGGTGGTGCCGGAGTGTGCGTGTCAGGGCCCGGGCTCTGGGTCAGGACAGGATTTCAATGAAGCTTCTAGCTCTAGCCCAGACTTGAACCCTGAACTCCTGGTTCAGGGATCCAACCCCTACCCGGCATCTGTTCCTGAATCTCAAATTTGGCACGTCTGACTGTGACCTCCTGACCTGTCCCCAGACCTGTCCCACCGTGGTCTTCTCCATTCCAGTCCCTGGCACCTCCATCCTTCCAGGAATTCTGCCGACAGCGTTGGCATCCTCCTCACCTCCTTCTCTTTCTCCCGGTCTCTTGTTGATGTTGTTTGGTTTTGATTTCAAAATTATCAACAACTCTTCATCCAGCAGGACTCGGAAGGGGACAAGGATAACATGGAACCCCAGCCACAGCAGTGAGAGCACAGAGATGGCAGGTGTCTTGAGCAGTGGGCGTGGAAGGGATGGCCCAATGGTTAGGGTAAACCAGGAGGCAATGGTGGAACTGTCCACAGCCAGCCGTGGGGACCTGCTTGCTGCTGGTCTTGTCACTCCCGGACCCAGGATGCTCCACGGGTCCACAGTCCCCGTGCCCTTTCTCACCTCCCGAAGGCCACGTGCCTGCCAAGCGCGCACTCCGGCCTGGCAGTGCCAAAAAAAGCTGGGACCGTTTGTGTTGGCCCAACTTCCGCCAGGGAGAAGATGCCAGGATGCATGTGCTCGAGGGTGACTCTCATTTCTCCCTGGACCGACCTGCCGCCTGTGCCACCATGTGGTGTGAAGTCACCAGCCTGGCACACGGATCCCAGAATCACTGTGAAGGCAGGACCCTTCATGGCCAAATCCCTCCCCAGTGCTCAGCGAGGGCCGTTTCTGCTGACTTTGGACCTCGGTCTGCAGAGCTGGAAGGCGGCGAGGCCCAGGGGCTCGCCTGCAATGCTGAAGAACGCCGAGGGGCTGGCCGGGGTCAGGGCAGCTCCTAGGGCAGTGTCTGCAGTGTCTTCTCTGGAAATTCTGTGGACTTTACCTTTTCAGCACCCCCCCCCCCCACCCTGTGGAGTGAGGCACCATGTGTCTCCCTGAAATGACCGGGTTGTGTCCCTATGTCTGCTCTACAGTTCACGCTCAGTACAGTAGCCAGGGTGATGGTGATATAATCTAAGTCATTTCTCTGCCTGAAACCCTCCAGGGGCTCCTTATCTCAGAGGAAAAGCCAAAGTGGCTTCCAAAGTCCTCTCTGCTCTGGCCCTGACCTTGGCTCCATCATCTCCAGACCTTGGCTCCTCGCTCCCTCTGCTCCAGCACACTGGCCTCCTTGCTGCCTTTTGAACCTGCCCCTCCTGCCTCAGGACCTTTGCACATGCTGCTCCCGTGGCATGGAATGGTCTTCCTTCAGGTTCCCCATCATGGGCCCCCTCGCCTCCTTCAAGTGTTTGTGCAGATGTTAACTTTTCAGATCATACTTGACATCTCCTTTTTTTCCTACATCTTACCCTCAAATATTTACTTGTTTTGTCTGCCTCCCTCACTAGAATGTCAGTTCCCAACCTCATGGAGCTGACATTTGTCTGTTTTATTTACTGCTGTATCTCTGCTGCCTAAGCCTGGCCCATAGGAGGTGCTCAATAAATGTTCATTTTAAATAATGCAGGGGAGCCTGGCTGGTGTGGCTCAGGAGGTTATGGTTTGATTCCCAGTTGGGGCACATGCCTGAGTTTGTGGGCTTGATCCCCAGTGTGGGCTATGCAGGAGGCAGCCCATCAGTGGTTCTCTCCCATCATTGATGTTTCTCTCTCTCTCTCCCTCTCCTTTCCTCTCTGAAATCAATAAAAATATTTAAAAAAAAAAAAAAAAAAGGGGGGGGGGGCGAGAAGGACACTGGAAGCCTGGAGAAAAGTGATAGCTCCAGGTCACAGCCAACCAGAATCAATGGCTTTCACTCTCAGAACAAACAAATCTTGAGTCCCACAGCCCTGGCCCAAGTCCTCCTCACAGCCATGTCAGGTCCTGGATCCGAAGCCGGACCAGCTGGGCCTCATCACCAGGACAACACAAAAGGCAGGCCAGTCTCTGGGGGTGCCTGTCTGACTTAGAGCTGTCCGTGCCACAGTCCTGTGCTGCGGAGGCCGAGGCAGCCACCTCCCCGCCCCTCCAGCTGCCTGAATGCAGGCGTGGAGACGGTGGCTAGATCTGAGGGGAGGGGTGGGGCGTGTGGAAGAAGAGAAAGGCAGAACTGCTGCTGCTAACCCACAGCACAGGGGCGCATTTCAAATGCTCCAGGCTCCCTTCCCCTACCAGCAGAGGGCGCCCTGGCCCACGAGGTCCAGGCGCGGCCACCTAGCGCCCTCTGGCGGCCACCCTGGATCAGGCCAGAGGGGAGCCTGATCTCCCCAGCCACTTCCACCAGAGGGTCCCAGCTCCACAGGGGAAGATCCAAAGGCAGGAGGCATCAACAGCCCTGGGTCTGGCCTAGGCCCACCCTGACCTGCAAGGAGAGGCCTGTGATGCCCTTGACAGGCCCAGAGGGGGAGCACTCACCGTGGGCTCGGCTGCTTCCCACCCCACTTTACCAGCCAGTAGACGCCCAGCCGGGCGGGCCTGGCTCCGCTTCCAGGCTGCACTCCCCTCTGTCCCTCCAACTGCTCACCCACAAATTTAGACCTCCTGAATGGCTCAGCCATGAGGTAAAAAATGTAAAGTGCAAACACCAGCTGACTTTATTGAGGGCCTCCTGGTTGCTCCCGCCACCTTGCACTTCCCGCTGGCTGGGGACCCAGGCTTTGAGCTGGTGGGCGGGGGCAGCTGAGGTGGAGGTAGAAGGGGGAGGGCCCCCAGCAGCTGGGTCCTTGGGGAGGGCAGGGCCCCTGTGTCTGCCCAGCCTGAGCCTCCCTCACGTGCCTCCCCACAGGCCGTGAGGCAGGCAGGCAGGGAAGAGGGCCTGCGTACGCTGCCCTTCCATGCCGTGACCTCGGGCACAGAGACGCATCTCTGGTTTCTCCAATGTACGATGGGGCCAGGGGGCAGAGTGGCCATGCCCAAGGCGGCAGCGGGTTTCCCCTGGGTCTGGTTCCTGGTGGCGGCTCCCGCCAGCAATCTCCAACTCTGCTCCCGCGACAGCACTGGCCTCTCCTGGGAGACACAGAGCTGGGCCAGACGGTGAGAGGCAGGCACACACAGGCAGATATAGTCAGAGACAGACAATCAGAGGTGAGCAGAGAGGCAGACAGAATCAGAGAGAGCGAGAGGCACCAGATATAGAAAAACAAAGAGCCAGAAACAGACACACACACAGAGAGAGAGCTAGAGGTGGATGGAGAAATGCAGATAGCCCCAGACACAGACAGAAACAGAGAGAGAGAGAGAGAGAGAGAGAGAGAGAGAGAGAGAGGGGGGGGGGAGACAGGCTGAGAAGGAGGAGAGAGAGAGACAGAGAGAAAGAGAGAGAGGGAGAGGAGACAGGCTGAGAAGGAGGAGAGGGGGGGGGAGAGGAGACAGGCTGAGAAGGAGGAGAGAGGGGGGCGGGTGGGAAAGGAGACAGGCTGAGAAGGGGAGCACAGACCAGACGCAGGTGCCATGAAGGGGAGAGGACACCCAGGCCCGGCCCGCTCCTAGAGCTCGTCCCGGGGGCGGGGATGGAGGCTGTGCCCGCTGCTGCCGGCCAGGTCCAGGCGGGGGCCGCGGAGGGTCTTGTGAGAGCCGCTCCAGCTGGTGAGGCGGCCACTGTCGTCGTCCCAGAGGGAGGAGGTCTCCGTGTCGCTGAGCCACTCGGCGTCCCCCGCGTAGTGCGTGGGCTCGGCGAGCAGGGGCCGGGCGGAGAAGGCCTGCAGGTCCCGAGGCCAGAAGTGCGCCTTGTACTGCTCACTGGGGAGGAGAGGGGGCTGGGGGAGCGGACGGGCCGGGGAGCGAGGGGCCGGGGGAGCGAGGGGCCGAGGGGCCGGGGGAGCGGGGGGCCGGGGGAGCCCCGCGTGCAGCCTCCGCACCTCCCAGCCTCCCCGGCTGCACCTCACCGCAGACATGAGGCCTGGCTTCCCTTACACCCTTTTCCAGATGGGGAAACTGAGGCCCAGAACTGGAAGTCGCCTCACTAGAAGCCAATGGCCCGCAGAGCCCACCCCTCGGGGAGTCTGCCTCCAGGGCGAGGCGGGGCTCCTGGACCACGCCTTGGCACCTCAGTCTCCCCACCTGCCCGGCCAGGGGGTGTGTGACTAGCTGAGGTGGGCCTACCCTGCCTGCCGCCCCCCGAGACTCACTTGGGGTGCTGATCGAACATGATGGGCAAGAACTCGTCCACGGGCAGCATCCGGCGCAGCGGCTGGGAGGCCAGCAGCTTGCGGGCGCCGGCCAGGCTCAGGGCGTAGGCCAGCGTCCAGTAGGAGTAGCCGGCCACCACCAGGCGCGGCAGCCCCTCCACGGCCACCTCCTCCTCGGGGTTCACCTGCTTCCGGCCGAGGTAGCTGCAGGCGACATTAGGGTCCCGGGAGGCATTGTAGGGCCTGGTGTGTCACAGGACCAACCCCGCCCTCCAGCACCAGGTGGGGGAAAGGAAGGCGCCAGCAGGAGGCAGACACCGCCCCAGGCTGCCCTCTCCCTTGCCCGGGGGGGGGGGGGGGTGCCCACTGCCTACATCAGGTCCCACGGAAGCTTCTCTGCCTCCACCTCCTCCATCAGCCTCTCCAAACGCCCCTTGAAGTTGCTCTGGAAGCGCACGTCGTCCTCGAACACCAGGACCCGGGCCAGGCCCCTGGCAGCCACCTGTGGTGAGAGGCGGGGTGTGTGTGTGTGTGTCTGTGCTAGGTTCGGGCTGTCCCCTTGCGCCTGGCTAACGCTGACCCCTCCCTGGCCTCATTTGCATGCCAGCTGCTCAGTCCCGGCCACGGCCACGTCACTCCGCTGCTCCAGAGCCTGCAGGCCCCCGCCAGGGGACTGAAACCCCAGCCTGCTCTGGCTGGCAAGGCCCCCCACACCCGTCCCAGCGCCCAGCAGGCTCATGATGGCGACGGAGCCAAGCTGCATTCACTGAGTACTGCCGAGTCCCTGGGGCCACAAGGACCCTCAAGGGCAGCGCACACAACAGCCCTGGACCGCAGCGAGGAGAGGGAGGGAGGGGAAGCCACGGGTCCGAGGACACGCAGGCCACAAGTGGCAGAGCCCAGATCTGGACCAGCACCTGCTGGACTGCGGGACCCAGGCGCTCACTGGGCCTCCTGCGCTTTCCTTCCTAAAGGAGGCCAGGTGGGCGGGGTGGGGGAGACCCTAGCCCCCAACACGGCTAAGAAAAAGCACTTTCCAAAGCGTTTGGAAGTGTGAAAGGAAGATGAAATCAGCTCAGCAAATGTGAAATGTACATCGTGTGTCTGTTCAGAGGCCTGGGAACAACGGAATAGAAGCTCACACACACACATACACACACTTTGGCAAAGAATGAAAACAAGGAGGGAGTCTGCACCGCCTCCGGCAGGGGGCGCCCCTTGGGCCAGTGTCCCTGCGGCGGCCTCTCAGAGTCATCACACCCTGGCCCTGGACTGAGGCCCTTCTTCCCACCCCTGGACACAACCTACTCCTTCCTCCTCTAGGCCTTTGCTCCTACTGTGTGTGTGTTATTGTTTTTTGCTCCTACTGTGTGTTTTTTTGTTCCTACTGTGTGTGTGTCTATTCCTACTGTGTGTGTGTTTGCTCCTACTGTGTGTGTGTTTGCTCCTACTGTGTGTGTGTTTTTTTTGCTAAGGAGGCCCTTCTCTTTGCCTGTCAATGGCGAGGTGCATGCGGGCCCCACACTGAGCCAGAAGCCCAGGCCAGCCCACACACTAGGGCAGCCTACGTACCTCCTTCAGAGGCTGGTGGATTTTTCCTTGATTTCAGGGCCCGTTCTGGTCCCTGAGCCCCAGGAGGCCAGGGCTGCATACTCTCTGTATTCTCAGAGAGGACAGCGCCTAGCACACAGTAGGTGCTCACAGAGAACGACCACGGTGTAGTGTTGGACAGGTTTAAAGCTGCGGAGCCTTTGCTAATGTATTCGACCACCCACCCTTCCCTCCAGGGCTGGGCAGAGCAGGAATGGGGGCCCTGCTCCCTGAGGTGGCCGAGGGGCGGTGCTCACCTCCTCCCAGATGGCGTGGTGGCTCAGGAAGCAGCCCACCTCCCCCTTGGTCAGCGAGCGGCCGGAGTAGGGGTCCTGGTAGCCAGGGAGCAGGTCCACGCCGAGGCTCCTCAGGACACTGCTGTTGAGCGTCCTGAGGAGACAGGTGTAACGGGGTGAGGGCGCCGGCCAGGGACTCCAGTGGCCCACACTGCCCCCCGCTGCCCAGGGCCTCCCAATGGCCCACACTGCCCCCCCCACGCCCAGGGTCCCCAGGGGCCTCACCGGCCATCCACAGCATCCACCACCCGCCCAGAGATCTCCATTTCCCAGAGCGAGCTCAGCATGCGCTCCCGCCTGTCGGGCCTGCGGGCCAGGCTGATGACAAAGACCTGGAGGAGGCAGGGGAGGGGGAGTGGGGAGTGGGTGCAGGGCAGGGGAGGGGCCCGGGAGGGACCCACCCACCTCCTGACCCCAGTCCTGCAGGCTGAGGGAACTCACCTCATCAAACCCCATCGTGGTGGGACGCTTCAGGGGCCGGGACACATGAGCCGAGGCCCACATAGGGGGCCCGTCCACTGCAGAGGAGAGCACCCCAATCACGAGCGCGTTTGGCAGTGACCCTGGAGTCCTCCTCCCTCCCCCCCACCCCATTCCTGCCCCTTCGGCAGAACGCCCAGCAGAAAGGGCCCTCAGAGATCACAGAGCCCGCCTGCCTCCATCGTACAGATGGCAAGACTGAGGCCCAGTGGAGAATGGGACCTGCCCAGAGTCAGGGGATGTGTTAGGGCTGAGGCTGGGACCCCGAGCCAGATGCCAGGCAGGCCTTAGCCCAGGAGAAGGGGCACAGGGAGGGGGAGCAGGGGCAGCAGGCGGTGCCCGGCTCCAGCCCTCACCCAGCGCCTCCAGGATGAGGTGGACGAAGTTGACCCGCTCGTCCTCCAGCTGCTGGTGGGACTTCACGGGGACATTCATGTACCCATAGCGGTGCTCGTTGCACACGTGGACCGGGACTCCTGCGGAGAGAGGCTGGCTGAGGGCCGGGGCAGGGCTCTCAGACCCAGCCCTGCCGGGGTCCCGAGTGAGTCCTCCCCGGGACTCTGGCCCCACCCATGGGATTGGGAAGGGCTGGGCTAAAAAAAAAAAAAAAAAAAAAAATCGGAGGGAGGTTTCTGCCGAGGTGGTTTACTCATTTGGATGGTGTTTCTGGAACACCTGCTGGTTGCCAGGGCAATGGCCGTGAGCAAGACAGACAGAGTCTGCAGCCTCAGGGGCCAGGAACAGGCCAACTCCGTGCCCACAGCCAGCGAGACAGCCATAGGAGACCACGTGGGGGCGCCACGGCTTCCTGTCCTCACTCTGCCTCTGCCCAGATCCAGCCCCAGCCAGCACTTCTGACCCGGATCCCTGCACTAAAACCCACACCCTCTCTTGCTCCCTTCAAGCTGGCCTCCCCTGGCCGCCTTTTCATTTCTTCAAGACCTGCCACCGTTATTATAATCCCTATTTACTCTCTGTCCTCTATGGACTGCGAACTCCTCAGGGGCAGGGGCACGATATCCTGTGGCCCAGTGGTTGAGCATCAACCCATGACCCAGGAGGTCATGGTTCAGAGCATGTGCCTGGGTTGCAGGCTCGATCCCTAGTGTGGGGCGAGCAGGAGACACCCGTTCAATGGTTTTCTCTCGTTATTGATGTTTCTTTTTAAAAATATTTTTTATTGATGTTTTATTGATGTTATCCTCTCTGTGAAAAACCAGTTAGGGCTCATTATTTTAATATATATATTTTATTGATTTTCTACAGAGAGGAAGGGAGAGAGATAGAGCGTTAGAAACATCCATGCGAGGGAAACATCGACCAGCTGCCTCTTGCACACCCCCTATCGGGGATGTGCCCGCAACCAAGGTACATGCCCTTGACCGGAATCGAACCCGGGACCTTTCAGTCCGCAGGCCGACGCTCTACCACTGAGCCAAACCAGTTTCGGCAGGGCTCATTATTGATGTTTCTAACTCTTTCTCCCTCTCCCTTCCTCTCTGAAGTAATAAAGATATATAAAAACAAACAAGCAAAACCACTGTTCACTAAACCCCTTCACCCTGCTGGCCAATGAGCCGTGGCTCATGAAGCAGTGGTAGCAATGAAACAAGGCATTCGCTCCTTCTCACTTTCTCTCCATCCATTTGTCTCTCACTTTCGTCATGTGACTTGTTCCCTTCCTGCATGTCTGCACCACAGACATGGGCAACACCCCCTGCACACAAACACCCAGGACAGCGCCGCCCTCTCTGAACTGCGGGCGGGAAGGGCATGCGAAGCAGAGGGAACAGCATGTGCGAAGGCCGAGCGGCTCCCAGGGAAGGATCAGGGAGAGCCGTCCTCACCCGCAGCCTGGCAGGAGAAGGCGAAGACGATGATGTCATCGAAGGGCCAGGTGTAGTTGGGGTGAGGGGGGTGGAAGGCGAGCTGGGCCGCCCCCTCCGCCCGCAGGGACACCAGGAAGGTGGAGTGGACCATGGGGACCCGGAAGCAGCCCCGGCGCTGGCGGTTCTTCGTGGGGAAGTACTCGGCGGTGCGGCGGTAGTAGCCCTGGGGTAGGGGTGCTCTGGGCAGTGAGGGGGACCCTCCACCCCAAGAACACTGCTCCCTGCCGAGGCGCACAGACCCCAAGGCCGCCGGGCCCTCTGGTCTCGGGGTTCCTCCCCCCAGGACCCCCAGCTCCCTGAGGCCCCAGCCCGGCCTCACCTGCGGGGTGATCCCGCACCAGAAGTTGGAGTAGTAAGTCTGCGAGTCCAGCATCGGGGCCACCACGGGCAGCCCCTGCTCGACCAGAAGCCGCAGGGTCTGGTTGTTGGTCAGAATGTTGTCGGTGTCTGCAAACTGTGAGGAGGGCGTGTCACCGACCCCGGGCCTCGCCTGGGTGCAGCCGCCAGGGATTCGCTGAGTGGGACCCCTCCAGACGGCCAGGCTCCCAGAAGCGGCTCTCAGAACCCGGTGAGGTTCCCCTTGGGAGGCCTAACCTACAAACTACAGATCTTCTGGACCAAGGAGCTAGTCTGGGGCGCCCAGCCAGTGTGGCTCAGTGGTTGAGTGTCCACCCATGAACCAAGAGGTCACGGTTTGAGTCCAGGTCAGGGCACACGTCTGGGTTGTCCCGCTAGATCCCCGGTAGGGGGCGTGCAGGAGGCAGCTGATAGGTGATTCTCTCTCATAGATGTTTCTATCCCTCCTCCCCTTCTCTCTCTGGAAATAATACAAACATAAAATTTAAAAAAAGAGCCAGGACCGGTTTGGCTCAGTGGATAGAGCATCGGCCTGTGGACTGAAAGGTCCGGGTTCGATTTTGGTCAAGGGCATGTACCATGGTTGCGGACACATCCCTAATAGGGGGTGTGCAGGAGGCGGTTGATTGATGATTCTCTCTCATTGATGTTTCTAACTCTCTATCCCTCTCTCTTCCTCTCTGTGAAAAACCAATAAAATATATTTTAAAAAATTTTTTAAAAAAGAACTGAGTTGCTGATCTAAGAACTATCTCAGAGATCTGACTTGGGGAGTAGATCCAAAGGCCTAGTCTGAGCTTTAGTTTGGGGAACTAGACTCAGTATATACCGTGGAGTCTGTCTCAGGGATCCAGGCTTAATATCCAGCCTGAGTTCAAGCTCAGGGACCCAAGTTCAGGATCTGATTTCTTTTTTGAATATATTTTATTTATTTTTTACAGAGAGGAAGAGAGAGGGATAGAGAGTTAGAAACATCGATGAGAGAGAATCATCAATCAGCTGCCTCTTGCACACTCCCCACTGGGGATGTGCCCGCAACCAAGGTACATGCCCTTGACTGGAATCGAACCCGGGACCTTTCAGTCCGCAGGCTGACGCTCTATTCGCTGAGCCAAATCGGTCTCGGCAGGATCTGATTTCTGACCCAGGCTGCTAGCCTGCAGGAGGGGGTCACACCAGAACTTCTGTCAGAAACAGATCCCAGGCGTAGGCCAGGCTTGCTTACCAGGATGTAGTCTGCCCCCATGTCCCTGGCAAAGGTCAGGGCTTCCTGCCTCAGCTCCATCAGGAACTGGTGCCTCTCTTTGGTCCAGTGCTTGGGACCCTCTTCCTCCGGGTAGGGCCTGAGGGGTAATGACATGAGATGTCCCAGGGTAGACACCTCCTCCTGCAGGGCTGTGCACGGAGCCCTGGCTGGGAGCCTGTGGCTTGGACTATAGCTATTGCCTACCCGCCCCTCCCCCCCAGTTCACCACCTGGGCTCCCCCTCAGGCCTCCAGACCACGGCTGCATAGTCATTGCCCACGGCGGCCAGCCACTCCTGCAGCATCTCTGTGGTGTTGTCCACATTGTGGTCCGTGGCACACCTGGGGACACAGGAGGAAGAAGGGTGAAGGGGGAGCAGCCACAGAGGAACCAAACCTGGAGGCGACCTTGACTCTGCAGCAACCACACCTGCGAGCCTGGCTTCTCCCAGGAGCGGGGGCGGGAGGTAAGCTACGGAGGAGGGGCTGAAGGGGGCAGCCAGGTGCCCTCACAGGTCTGTGACCCCCGGGGCGACCGAAGGCAAGTCCCGCCCCTCTCAGGCCTTCACTTTCTTCCTCTCTGACTGTACGATGACCAGCAGGCCGAGGAAACAGCTGGGGTGCATTTCCAAAGATGGAGAGCACCTCGCGCTGAAGAACACACCGGCCACGCCTGTTACCCTCCCTCCTTGCTGTGTGGCCGCATCAGCCCCGCCCCGAGTCGGGACTGGACGGAGGAGCTGATGCTTCTCTCTGTGGGAAGCTGTCAGAGGGCTCACACGCACTGCGTGTCCTGGGAGGAGCGGACACGGAACATGCTCTCCTTCCTCTGGAAGGCTCCCACGGCCGAGTCGGGCGGGGGGCTCGGTGAAAAGCCAGGTTTTGGGTGGCACTGTCCCTTTAAGCCAATTCCCCAGAAATGAAGACTAACTACGTGTCAGGTCCCAAACTGTGGTAATTGTGGGCGGCCTCCCCAGGCCACGGCTCCACCCCCAGCCCGAGTTTGGCGGGCTGTGAGGGGTAGTTTGTCATCTCCCTCCTTTCATCCCCAACCTCAGCATGGGCTCCTCCCTGTTCGGCTGCCACAGGCTGTGGCCTCTGAAGCCAGTGCCTGGTGGGGACCCCCGGGGGTGGGGGAGCAGAGGGGGCACTGCCATCAGCTGGCAGGACCCGCCCCCTACAGCCTGAGACCAGCCCCGCGGGAGGGGGAGCAGTCGGACTCCCCTGCAGAGCAGTCTGGAGCCCAGGGCTGCCTGCACCCCCACTGCTACCCGGGAACCCCCAGACCTACTGATGCCTGCCACCTCCGGCCCCAGGGGGTGTCTGCTATTCCTGTCTGCTCCCTCCAAGCCAACAACCACAGTCCGGGGGGCTGAGCGTGGGCACTGACAGCCAGAGGGGCCCAGCCGGACTCACACCAGAGGAGGTGGCAAGAGGAGGCGCAGGGGCCGGGGCGGGTGTCCTAGGCCAGCCCACGGCCTCGGAGGTCAGTCTGCGGCCTCGGAGGTCAGTCTGCGGCCTCGGAGGTCAGCCTCCGGCCTCGGGGGTCAGCCTCCGGCCTCGGAGGTCAGTCTGCGGCCTCGGAGGTCAGTCTGCAGGGCCAGCGGGACGGGCCCGCCGGGGGCCGGGGGCTGACCAGGGCCTGCCTGCCGGGGAGGAGCCTGCTGGGTGGGTCCGGCCTGGGCGCGGAGGCCTCGCTGGAGCTGGGGGCGATGCCCAGGGGGTGCCCGCGCCCGCGTCTCTCACCAGAGGGTCAGCCGGGCGCGGGGGTAGTCCAGCCGCTCCAGCGCGCCCAGGTAGTGCGGCAGCGAGTGCGCGGCATTGCGGGCCAGGACGGCCAGGACCACGGCGGGCGGCGGCTCCGAGAGGCCGGTGGCCGGGAGCCGCGGGCCCAGCAGGAGCAGGAGCAGCAGCGGGAGCAGCGGGGCGGCGCGCATGGCGAGCTCGGACGGCGGCGGCGGCCCCGGGCTCCGGCCCGGCCGAGGGGAGTGGGCGGCGCGGCGGGGCCGGGGCGGGGCCGGGCCCCGGGTGGGGCCGTGGCGGCCCAGAAGGGAATGGGGGTAGCGTACCCCCCACAACGTGGGGTCCCATTCCCCACCCCTATTTGGGGGCTTTCAAGTGTCCTCTCCTCGGCCGGGGGGACGCAGGACCGGGGCCCCAGGGCCGCCCCAGACGCGCCCGGGAGCAGCCCCCTCCCGGCGGGGCGCCCGCGGGGGGGCCGGGAGGGGGGCGCGTCAGGGGTGACGGCATCGAGCCTCCCGGCGCTGCGCACGCTCCTCTCCAAGTCCCCGGGATGCAACCCCCGAAATCGAATTCCCGACGTCCCTAACCCGGCTTCCTTGGCCCAACGTCCGACCCACGGACCTCAGCCACCCACCCACCCTGGGACAGGACCCGCTCCCCGCGGCCCGCCCCGCCCCGGCCCCGCCCCGCCCCGGCCCCGCCGCGCGCCGCGCGCCCTCTTGCGGCCGCAGGCGGAACCGCAGAGCCCAGCGGCGCGGGGCCCCTGACCTGGGCGCCGTCCCGCGGCGGCCGGAGCCCGGCGTCTCCCGCGCGGCATCGCCCTCGCCTCTGTCGCCGGCACCGGCGCTGCTTCGATCCTTTAAGAAAACAAAGTTCACTCTTAGCCCGAGTCAGAGCCAGGAGGCACCGCGCAGCCCGGGGATACAGCCTCCCCTGGGGATGAGCTGGGCTCTCTCAAAAAAACATTTTTATTTGCCCGGCTGCCTCCTGCACGCCCCCTACTAGGGATCGAACCCGCAACCCGGGCATGTGCCCTAGACCGGAATTGCACCTGGGGCCCTTCAGTCCGCTGGGCTAGGGTCTTGAGATGAGCTGGAAATAGGACTCAAAAGCCAGGTTTCCCTCCCATTCCCCACCCCGCCCACCACCCACCAGGAAAGCCTGCTTCCTGTGACACCTTTGGGTCTTCCTTCAGCCTCTTCCCAGCGTCAGGGAGGAGGGCCAAGCCTGTGCACACTCTGTCCCCCGAGAGGCGAGGCGAAGGGGTGGGGGCCCAACAAGGAATGGGCTTGCCTGGTGATGGGGCAGATGTGGGGCATGAACCCTGGAGCCAGGTCTCACCTGGCTGCGCAGCCTCCCCCAGGCCAGTGGAAGCTTCTCCCAGGTGGAGCCACTCCCAGCGGATAGCCCTGCGATGAAAAGCACACGCCCTCTCCCTCCTGCTTTTCGGAGAAAAGAGAGGTCGTCACCTGGGAACTCTCATTTCCAGCCTCCAAACCCTGCGCCTCCCGCCCCTACGCCAGCCTCTGCCCTCACCGCCTGGGACAATGGAACAGGACTCTGTCCTCAGGACAGAGCCACCCTGGGCTCCAAATCCATCCCCTGGCCCCTCCTGGATCGCAAACCTCCCTCTCTTCTGGATCCTTCCTTCGACTTTCCAAAGGACTGCAATCTCCCCAACTTAGATTACAAAACACCACGTTGCCTGCCAGCCCCCAGCTGCAGCCTCCTCTCCTCCAAACCTCTCAGAGGGGGTCTCTGCCTGCTCCATCCTGCTTCCTCCTCCCCATTCAGAATGTACACAGGCCAGGCTGCTCGGGCCACCCTGCTCCTGCAGGACCAGCCTCCTCCCGGCCACGCCCCCCAGGGGCACCTCTTCCCCACCCACGAGGGCTCTCTCCTCAGCAGCTGATCTGGAGCAGCTACTAACTCCGTGTTTCTGGGAAACTGCCCGCCGAGACCCAAATTCCATCTGTCCCAAGCAAACCTCAGCCTTCCCCCAGACCTTCCCCCTCTGGTGGCCTTCATCCACCCAGTCCTGCCAGCTGCAGCCCTGGGGTCGCTGATAGCAAGCCCCTCTCTCGGCCTGATCCATCACCCCGTCCTGGTAAGACCACCCCCCATGTCTCCTGCACGTGGCCACTCGCCTGGCTCAGGGGCATCAGCATTACTCACCCGGCCCCTGCACCACCCACTCCCCCCTGCACCGCCCAGCTTCCTCTCCCACCCCCCATTCTCCCTGGAAGCCACTCTGCACCCAATGGCCCGTTCTAAAACGCCTGACATGGGGAAGGGAGTCCAGCCGAACGGGACTACGTACAGTTTCCAGAACACTCCATGCTCTAGGACCGTCTCACGTCCTTTTTAGTTGTTCCTCTGCATGAACTGGTCTTTCTGGCCAACTCCTACAGGCCCTCCAACCTCAGCTCAAACTTCCCCTCCGCTGGGAAGTCTCCCCCAAGGTCATGGCTAAGGGACAGAGCCCTGCACGGTTCGTTCAGCAAGTGCTTATGGCGCCCATGCTAGGCTCAAGCGGAGGCACTAGGCACAGACGTTCTGCGGGGAGGAGGTAGACAGGAAACACAGAAGATAAATTAGCAGGTCGTTTCAAAGAGCAGTGATGCTATGAACAAAACAAAACAGTTTCCTAAGAACAGAGCTGCTGGGGTGGGAGGTAACGCTGAGTGGAGGCGTCAGTGAAAACATCGCAGAGCATAAGGGGAGCCCTGGGGGAGGGAGCGGATGGGGTCACTGTCCTGGGGGGGAACAAGCTGGGGAAGGGAGCCGGGGGAGTGTGGGGAAAGGAGAGGACCACCGATAGGGGCTTCATCACAAGGAATAATAGCCTATAATTATTGGAATCAAGAGTCTAGGTCAGTGGTCGGCAAACTCATTAGTCAACAGAGCGGCAAGCCTCGCCCCGAGAGCTGACCACTGACCTAGGCCTTTTTAAAAAACTGCAATGAGCTGAAACCAGTTTGACGCAATGGATAGAGCGTCGGTTTGGGGACTGAAGGGTCCCGGGTTTGATTCCGGTCAAGGGCATGTACCTTGGTTGCGGGCATATCCCCAGTAGGGGGTATGCAAGAGGCAGCTGATCGATGACTCTCTCTCATCTATGTTTCTAACTCTCTATCTCTCTCCCTTCCTGTCTGTACAAAATCAATAAAAATATATTTAAAAAAAACAAAACAACCAAACTGCAATGAGCCCTAACCAGTTTGGATAGAGCGTTGGCCTGCGGATTGAAAGGTCCCAGGTTTGATTCTGATCAAGGGCATTGGTTGCAGGCACATCCCCAATAGGGGGTGTGCAGGAGGCAGCTGATGGATGTTTCTCTCTCATCGGTGTTTCTCTCTATCCCTCTCCCTTCCTCTCTGTAAAAAAAGATCAGTAAAAATAAGCTTTTTAAAAAGTGCAATGAAAAGACTTTGGAGGGGATAACCAAAGGAGTGAGATGATTTGTCTTTTAAAAGATTGCTCTCACCCTGGTCAGTTTGCTCAGTGGACAGAGCGTCAACTCCCTGTCAAGATCCTGTATCTCAGTTGCAGGCTGGATCCCCATCCTCCTGGGGGTGCAAGTGGGAGGCAACCCATCCATGTTGTGAGAGAGCTCACAACAATGTTTCTCTTTCTCTCTCCTCCTCCCTCCCCTTCACTCTCTCTAAAAAAATCAATGGAAAAAAATATCCTGAGAATTAAAGAAGAGAAAAAAAAAAAAAGATCGCTCTGGCTGCAGTTCAGAGGGTGGCCAAGGGGGGCAGGGATGGAAGAGGGGAGACCCTGTCACAGGAGAGAAGCAGGGTGGTGGGGGGAAGGAGTGTAACCAGATTAGATGTGGAGATGGAGCCAGGAGTCAGGATGAGCCACAGGGTTTGCAACTGGGCTGGACGATGGACTAGATCCTGAACGGGGAAGACCCGATAGAATATATAAGGTGTACCGGTTAATAAGGAGGATTTTTCCCCCCCAATAAATGGAGTTACACATATGTTGAAATATATGCGATTTGATACATATTCAAAACTTTATATGTCAAATTTGTTGAAGGTGTTAACAATATAGATATTTTTATGCTTAAAAATATCGAATTTCAGCTGAAACCGGTTTGGTTCAGTGGATAGAGCATCAGTCTGCGGACTGAAGGGTCCCGGGTTTGATTCCGGTCAAAGGCATGTACATTGGTTGCGGGCACATCCCCGGTAGGGGGTGTGCAGGAGGCAGCTGGTCGATGTGTTTCTCATCGATGTTTCTAGCTCTCTATCCCTCTCCCTTCCTCTCTGTGGAAAATCAATAAAATATATTGGGGGTGGGGGAATGTCGAATTTCAGCCCTAACCAGTCTGGCCCAGTGGATAGAGCGTCAGCCTGCAGACTGAAAGGTCCCGGGTCTGATTCCGGTCAAGGGCATGTACCTTGGTTTCGGGCACATCCCCAGTAGGAGGTGTGCAGGAAGCAGCTGATCAATGTTTCTCATTGATGTTTCTAACTCTCTATCCCTATCCTTTCCTCTCTGTAAAAAATCAATAAAATAGCCGGGACCGGTTTGGCACAGTGGATAGAGCGTCGGCCTGCGGACTGAAAGGTCCCGGGTTCGATTCCGGTTGAGGGCATGTACCTTGGTTGCGGGCACATCCCCGGTAGGGGGTGTGCAAGAGGCAGCTGATCGATGATTCTCTCTCATCGATGTTTCTAGCTCTCTATCCCTCTCTCTTCCTCTCTGTAAATAATCAATAAAATATATTTTTTAAAAAATCAATAAAATATATATATTTTAAATGTCCAATTTTGTGTCAAAAAAAGAGCATTTGCGGGAAGTTTTAATTCATTTCTTTATTTTGAAGAAGAGTGCTGCTAAAAGTTATTGTATACTTCAGGAAGCTTATGGTGAACATGCTCTATCTCTAATATCCAATCATTTACAAGCAATGGGAAAGATTTTAAAAGAAAAAAAATGGCTACCACATCAACCGAATGAAAGACAAATGGAAAACCAAAAAGTCATCAGTAAAATGTTGCTTCAACAGCACGAGAAAGTCTTTTTTGCATGAATTGTGACTGGCGATGAAAAGTGGATTTATTTTGAGAATCCCAAATGCACAAAATCATGGGTTGATCCAGGTCAACCATCAACATGGACTGCAAGGCCAAATCGCTTTGGAAAAAAGACAATGCTCTGCATTTGGTGGGATCAG